GGGGCGCCCTGGACCTGCACCTTCTGCGAGACGCGCAACTCTGGCGCGGGCAGCGCCTCTGGGAGCCCCCCCCCCGGCTCGGGGCGGGAGGCGGGAGGCGGCCGCCCTCGGGGCCGCTGCCGCGGGGGATGCGCGAGCACAGCGCACTGCGCAGCATCGAGCGCCCTGGTCAAAAGTCGAGGAGTTTTCGCAGTGGCGATGTGTCATGCTGCTGCCGGGGGAGAGCCGGTTGCAAGTGTGGCCATGTGGCGCGCTGCTCCCAGATGAGATTGCATTACCGGCGCTGTAGGCGACTTGGCGACACGTCTGCCCAGCGTCTCGAATCCCAGGCAGGGTGTGTCACACCCACGTGGATGCGACGCGTGAAGGGTTGCTGCGGGAGAGGAGGATGAGAAGGAGGAGGAGGAGGAGGAGGAGAAGGAGGAGGAGGAGGAGTGAATCTAAGACCGCCAGTGATGTGGATGCAGCTTCGGCGATGACCTCGCGGTGATGTCGATGACAGTGATGGCGATGGTTGCGACGGTGATGATGGCTCATCGGACATCACACGTCTCGATTTCTTCGAGGCACGGCTGCCGCTCCTGGGACCTTTCTTCCCCTGGGCGGGTTCTTCACGTTACGGGTTTCTGTTGGTACCCCTGGAGTCTGAAAGTTGGCCCACCATGCAGAAACAATTGCCGCCTCGATATTTCACTGTTGTTCGGTCTGGGGGTTCATTAACGATCCCTCGACCTGTCCTTGGGCCAGTTCTGGCCAGAGCCTCTGGGCGGACCCCGCCGTGGCGACGAGGATCCTCCCGGGAGGCCCGAACAAGCGGCGAAGATCAGTCGAAATTTTGAAACTAGGTCATATAACCTCGATGCCGACGACAAATGTCAAACCTCGGTACTCGATGCCGACCAGTGCGACGCCTCGCGCGAGCACCCCCCACCGCGGCTTCGCGGAGGGCGGTTGGGCGGGGGCGTGGGGGACTGCCAGGAGCCGGGCGCGGTTCTTGCCCAGGGTGTCCGCAGCTTCTTGCGCCACCGTGGAGCCCCTGGGGCCCACAGGGCCTCGCCTCGCCACTGGTTCGGTAGCAATTCATGGGGGCCTTGTGTCGATTAGCGTCGATTAGCGTCGATTAGCGTCTGGGAGTCGATGAGATAACGCCGATTGATTGTCGATTAGCGTTGGTTAGCGTCGATTTAGGGTCGATTTAGCGTCGACTGGCGTCGATTTAGCGTCGACTAGCGTCGATTCGCAAGAGCCGACAAGATGGCATGGCAGGCTCCCGTGATCTGCCACCGAACGCTGGCCCCATTCCCAGTTCCGCTCCTCCTTCTCCCCGTCTCGGCTCCGGCTGTTTCTCGACGACTCTGCCCGCTAGTCTGTGTCAGCAGCCCGGCAGTTGTGTGGCACCTCCGGGCGTCTCCGGCCCCGGGGCGACCTCCGCTCGGGGCGCCGAGGGGCGCTCGAGCCCCCCCCCCTTGAACGAAGGATTGCAAAAAAACGAAGGATTGCAAGATTGCAAAAGAAACCGAAGGATTGCAAAAAAAAACCCTTGGCATTTTTGCAATCCTTGTTTTTTTTGCAATCCCCCCCAGGCGCGGAGCACCGACCGCCGCGGCTGCGCACCCGCGGAGCTCGAGCGCCGGCTCCTCGGGGTGTCGAGGCGGGCGCCGTCGTGCTCGTCGGGGCTCCGAGGGCAGCCCGCCGCCGGCGGGCACGCCTCGGGGAGGCCGCCGGGCGGGCCTCTCGGAGCGGCGGCGAGCCCGGGGGGGTCGGCCGAGCGAGAGGGAGAGGAGGTCTGCCGCACGGCAGGCGGCGGCGCTCCGGCAGGAGCCCCGGCGCCTCCGGCGGAGTTCCCCCGCGCCTCCGGAGAAGGGTCCGAGCGCCGAGCGCCGCCACGCCCGACCTATAATTACCAGCCTGGAACATGTTCCCTTCGGCGAGGACCATCGAGGAGCATCCTTGATCATTTGGCGAAAAAAACACGCACGAAACCGAAACAAACACAGGGAATGGACGTCCGAGCGATGGCGAGGGCCGACCTATGATTACCAGATCGATCTGGCTCGAAAAAATATGTGGAAAGCCGGGGTTTGGGGCTCCGGCCGTGATTTCTTGCGATGTTGCCATGTGTTGCAACGTCGGATCTCAGGGTAGACGCGGCCAGAGGGTCGCGCAGCATCGCCGATTCATCTTCGATGCGGCTCGATGCGGAGCACGATTTGCCGACGTCGCCAATGCATCACCGATTTTTACCAGCCTGGAACATATCCCTATCCCTATGCTGGGCACCTCCTCTTCACGATGCCAATCTTGGGGATTCCCTTATTTTGTGAGGGCGGATCCCTAAGATTGTCATCGCCTTTTGGCGTGTCAATCTTAGGGATAGGGATACGTTCGAGGCTGGTAACAAAGGCCTGCCCAGAAGGCCCGGGGGGGGCCTTCCGAGCCTGCCGAGAAGACACGATGCCGAGAAGACACGAGCCGCAGGGCTTCCCCCCCCCCCCACCCCCCGCGGACTGGCCGAGCCGATCGGATGGCGACGACAAGCCTGACCTTCCAGAAGGCCTAACAGCCTAACAGATAGCACCAGGACCTGCATACCTAGATTCCAGTCGAGGTGAATAATCGAAGCAGAAGGACGGGACAACACACAAGCATTTGGCGCTCCGTACGAATGTCTTGGATCTGCGCCAGGGCCCCCTGGCGGCGCCGCAGGCGCCGCCCTTGGCGCGCTCCGCGCGCTAGGGAGGGGGGCCCAGCGCGGATCCAAGAAATCCGCGCGGAGCGCCAAAGTTCATATATGCGCCATGTTCCTCTTCCTTCTTCTTTTTCTTCTTCTTGTTTTTCTGATTCTTCTTCTTATTATTATGTTTATTTGTCTTCTTCTTCTTCGTATTACTGTTATTTTTTGTATTGTTGTTTCCTCCTTATTATTATTCTTATGTACGCAGTCTGGATAGCTCTGTCAGTCTGGAGTGATATTCTCGGCACTCCAGCGTCGGTGCGGTGCCCGCAAAAGCATCGGTGCACAGAGTTCGGCTCCTTCTCAAAGATGGCACACAGACCCTGAGAATTCCCTGAATGCCAGCCGAGGTGTTCAGCAGCCTAGACTGGTCTATAGGTCTGGAGGGCCGGCCAGGGGGAGGAGAAGAGGGAGGGAGGGAGGGAGGAGAAGGGAGAGGAAGGGAGGGAGGGAGGAGAAGGGAGAGGAAGGGAGGGAGGGAGGGAGGGAGGAGAAGGGAGAGTGATATCTCTCAGCTGCGCTGGGCAAAAAGTCCCCCGAGGGGAAACGGCGGCGGCGCCGGCGCCCAGGTGCCGGAACTGCGGCGAGCCGTGCCCGGCCGAGGCAGCCGCGCCTCCACCCCCCCCTCCCGGGGAGCCCGCGGGCGGCCGCGGGCGCTGTCGGGGGGGGGGCGGGATCGGCGGTCTTCGAAGGTTCGGGGGCGGCCACGAGGAGGAGGGAGGAGGAGGGAGGAGGGAGGAGGGGGAGGTGGAGGGGGAGGGGGGAGGGGAGGGAGGGAGGGAGGAAGAGGCGGAGGAGGAGGGGGAGGAGGTCGGAGGAGGGGGGAGGGGAAGGGAGGGGAAGGGAGCAGGAGGGAGGGAGGAGAAGGGAGGAGGAGGGAGGAGGAGGGAGGAGGGAGGAGGGGCACTTGGCGGCCCCCATGCTCTTCGCGGCTCGGTGCGATCGGGCCGGGCGCGGCAGGGGCTCGGGAGCAAGAGGGAGGGAACACCGATGCCACGCCGCCGTTGGGAGGCCGGCGGCGTGCCGCTCCTTCGGCTCGGCAGCAGCACGCCGATGCTGCTTTCCCGCGGTGGCGCGTCATTGGTACGATTGGCGCCCAAGGATCGGGGCCTCCCGGATGGGGTCTCGGGCCGGGCGAAAGGGGGGGATTGGGAAAGGGGGGGTACGAAATTTGCGGCATGCAGCTGGTTTCGGCCCCGCCGAGGGGCCCATTCCTCGATACATGGCCGCCTCCCGGCGCCTCCCGGCGCCGGGAAAATCAGCTGCGTGAGCTGATTCTAAAAACCCCCCTTTGCTATCCCCCCCCTTCGCCGGACCCGAGATTGGCGCCCAAGAATCGAGGCATTCGGGATGGGGTCGGAGTGGGTGGGGTCGGAGGAGCGCGTCGCATCGCAGGGGAGCGTGCTGACCGGGAGTGCGGGGCGAAGCCAGCGGCGGCGGCGAGGGCCTCCCGGGAGGGTTCCCCAGAAGGCGGGACGCGAGGCAAGCGTGGAGGCGCGGGTGCCGTCCCCCCCCCCTCCAAGGTTCGCCGCCCGAGCAACGGAGGGAGAAGGGGCACCCTCGTTGCCGCAGCTGGACGCGGCGCGAAGTGCTAGTTTCAGGTCGGGCCTGTCCCTCTACAGGAGGATGATTCAAAAATAGTTAAAAAATAGTCAGGGGGACGATGCTTTGACTCTTTTCGCCCAGAAGTCCCCTGCAGGGGCACACGCCCGACTTGAAGCTAGTCAGTTTCGACCCCAGGAGTGGCCTGGGGACATATCACACTCTGAGCGGGTTTGCGCTCGGCCCCCCTCTTGACCCATGTTCTTGGGCCACCTCCAAGAGGAAGGACGGCAAACACACAGACAATTGATCGTCGACTCTCCGGAAAATCTGGGAAATGGGAAGTGGGGGAAGACGACAAACCAGGAGATATGAGAATACAGTCGGGAGTCCTGGGATTTGTACATACATTTATGTGTGTGTGTGTGTCCCTGGGCACCTCTAAAGAGAGAGTTCTGCTTACTTACTTTCTGGCCATAACGGTCGTGTCACGGGGGGGAGCGATCACGTCACGACTCGCACAGACGCCGTCTGGGAATGCTCAGGAGTAGCTCACTCCCACACGGCGCCATCGAGAGTATTGACCTGACCACCAGGGGGATTGGGGGCGAGGGGGCAGGGGGGGAAGATCACCGGTCTCATCGCAAATAATAACAGATTAGTAATGCGAAGCATCGTAATACTAGCTACAACAATAATAGTTCTACTGGTGGGTGCTCGTTAGAACTGGAACCTGGGCGCGCGCGGAGCGCGCGCGTAGTTCTAATACAAGTCGGGCGCCACCGCCCATCGCCGATCGGGGCGTGATGCCGTCAAGACGCTGAAATGTGGGCCGCTCGGGGCTCGGGAGGGGCTCGGGTGCCCGGGGCGCTCCTCGGATCCAGGCCCCCCTCCGCTCCCTGGCATTCGCTCTTGGTGGCAGCACGACGGCCGTCACGCCCCCCCCCCCCCCCGCCCCGGAGCGCGCGCGCGGCGGCCAGGTGGCCCGGCTCCTGCAGCGGGCGCCGCCCGCCCCCCTGCCCCTCCCCGAGGGGGGGGGGAGCGGAGGAGGGGAGGGCGCAGGGGAGGGCGGAGGGGGGGAGGGCGCAGGGGAGGGCGGAGGGGGGGGGGGGGGCGGAGGGGAGCACGAAGAGGGAGGAGGGGAGGGGGAGGCGAAGGGTGGGGCGTCGGGGGTCGGAGGTGGAGGGGGAGGGGAGGGGGGAGGAGAGGGGCGGCGTAGCGCGCGCCGTGGAGCCCTTGTTTGAAGGGTCTTGAAAAAGGGAGGGGAGAGGCGGAGGAGTGTGCGGATGGGGAGGAAGGTGTTGGTGGAGCAGGAGGATGAGGAAGAAGGAGGAGGAGGAGGAGGAGGAGGAGGAGAAAGAGGGAGGAGGACGAGGATGGGAGGAGGAGGAGGAGGAGGAGGATGATGATGATGAGGAGGAGGAGGAGGGTCTCCTTGCGTGACGGGGCCAGGGAGGACTTCGTAGCAACTCATGGGTGCCTTGCATGTCCGCGCGATTACGTCTTTGGACTGCAGCAGCGTGCGCTAGCGTCTGGTCCTCGATGGAAGCGCGTCGTCGTAGCGTCGATCAGCGTCGACTGGCGCCGATCCGCAGGAGTCAGAAAGATGACACGGGAGGCCCCCATGAGTTGCCACAGTAGAGCGGGAGGAGGGGGACGGAGGGGGGGAGAAGATACATAGAAGAAGAAAACGGCATGAACATACACTGTCGGCGCTCCGCACGGCTTTCTTGAATCTGCGCTGGGAGCGCGCCAGGGGCGACGCCGGAGGTGCCACCGCGGGGGCCGAGCGCGGATCTCAGGCCGAGTATTCTGCAGTATGGATTGTGATGGGATTTGTTTATTTGTGTGTGTGTGTTTTCTTCCCGTTCCGATTTTTGTCGCAGTCGCGCGTGCACGTCGGCTTAGGTTGGTGATTGCGCTTGGCACTGTTGGCCTCTCTCTGACGGGACCCCCCCCCCCAGGGGGAGCTCGGACAGCAGAGCTGCGCCGACGGTCGTTGGGTGGGGCGACTTCGCCAGGGGACTTTCGTGAGCGCGGCGGGCGCGTCCGGCCCGTCGCCAATCTATCGTGCACCGTCAGAGCCGAAGTTGCGAGCTGATGCTGATTGTGACCAGTGCCACGTACGCGTGGGCAATATCGTCTGGCTTCGCTTGTCCGCAGGCCTGCGGCAGGAGAGCCCTGGTTGGCGAGTGGCTCGTGCCGTGGGCGCCCACGGCCCGTGAGACGGATCAGGGGCAACGCCGTGGGGGGGAGGGACAGGCTTAAGTTGGGCATGTCCCTCTACCTGAGGCATATTCAAAAATAGAAAAAATAGTCTGGGGACAATTTTTCTATGATTTTTGGACCATGTTGGATTTTTTATCATTTTAATTTTCCATCCAACATCTCCCTGTAGGGGGACAGGCCCGACTTAACTCAAGGGGGGGGGAGACGCATCGGGCACGCGATCGCCCATATCGTCGCCGAGGCCCGCCCCGCCCAGGAACGCGCCCAAATTACAATCGTTGGCCTGTCGCCCAGGCCTCCTGGACGGGGTCGGAGCAGATCGGGTTGGAGGATCGCCCCGCGTCGCCAAGGCGTCGCCGATGCGGCGCGATGTGGAGCCCGATTTGATTCTCGTCGACGTCGCCAATGCATCGCCGACGTCGACGATGCGTCGCCGGTGTATCGCCGATGCGTCGCCGATGCACTGCCGATGCATCGCCGACGCATCGGCGATGCGGCGCGATCCGTCGACCCCATCTACTCGGCTCGCATCTAGGAGGCCTCTACTATCGCCGACCCATTGGCGATGCATGGCCGCTTCGAGGTAGATGTTTCCCCCCTGAGCGGGTCCCCCCCATAAGCGTTTCCTCTCCATCGATCTCCAGGGGCCTCGGCAGGCGGTAGTCAAATGGATGCATGTTCGGGCCACTGCCTGGGGTGGCCGAGTGAATCCGTGGCCACCGCCTGCCGAGGCCCCCGAAGGTGGATCCCCCAGGCGGTGGTTACGGAAAGTAAGATGCCCCCTTGCCAGGGCTGGACCTAGACGCTGTGTTGCTGGACTTCGGCTGTGTTCTGAGGTTCGTTAGGGCAGGGAGGTACAGGAAAACAGCTGGAGCAGAACGAGAAGCAAAACGACACCGAAACGAAAAACATCGTTTAGGTCCAGCCTTGCCCCTTGCAGCATTTTCCCTCCTCGAGGGGGCCGGCCATGTGTTCTGCTCCGATGCGTCGGCCTGGCGTGTGGCTCGCGCTGGCTGCTGCTCGACCCCGAGGCGCCGCAGCAGCTGCGGCGTGCCCGCCGGTGCACCACGAGCTCCAGCAGTGCAGGGTCGGCGAGTGCAGCGTCGTGTACGACGTGGACCTGGCGATCGATGCCTCCGTCTTCAAGCAGCTGTGGACAATCCTCGAAGAAGAGAAAACGGCATAAACATAAACTTTTGGCGCTCCGCGCGGATTTCTTGGATCTGCGCTGGAGCGCCCTGGCGGCGCCTCCGGCGCCGCCCCTGGCGCGCTCCGCGCGCCAGGGAGGGGGCCCAGCGCAGTTTCCAAGAATTCCGGGCGGAGCGCCACAAGTTTATGTTTATGCCGTTTTTGGTTCCTCCAGATCCGTCGGACGCTGAAAAATAGGTACTGGTTGTACGCCGGTGCTCTTTACCGGCTGTCCGAAACCATGCGGTCTCTGGATTGCTTCGCCACTTTTTCCTCTTGCTGTGCAGTGGGAAGTTTCGTTGAAAGCGATTGGCTCAGACTCTGCGAATTATTCCGGAGCGAGCACTATAACCATTTCTGTTCAGGCAGCTCAAGAGGACCATGAGAACCGGGATCAACCAAGCAGAGCAGGCCATCCCCAGGCACCGAAGGACAAATCTGTCAAATGGAGGACGGTCTAGGGAAAGCAAGACTCACGCACTAAACACCAGGAAATTATCAAATGATTGCCAACCTGTGTGAGACTGCGAATCACGGCCACCAAGAATCGAACACGCGCCGAAACGGTGAGTTTTTGTTCCATGATTGGGGAGGGTCTGTGAGGTTGTTTCTGGCCTTCTCGGTGCATTGGGGTGTCAAGCAAGAATGGCTCGATGAGCTTCTGTGGCGTGCAGACTGGAAAAACGCCACCACGAACGGCTTGGACGAGATCTCGCAGAGGGTCTTCTTGGACCACCCGTGCTACGGCAACCACCCGCCAGGCAGCGTGGGTGATGCTGCCCAGGTGCAGAGGATGGTCCACTTGGACTTCCTGCTGAAGGAGCTGTCGTCGATCCAGCCCTCGATGCTGCGGGCCGAGCAGGTGCTCGGGGTGCAGCCGAGCGAGATGCCCGCGTGGGTTCTGCCCGCCGCGCAGGACCCCAGCGGGCTCTGCAACCACACCGAGGTCTCGCAGCTCTGGAACCGAGGCTCCACCAACATCTCGGGCATGCTCGCCCGACTGGGGGAGGGGCGCGGGGGCTGGGTCGTGAACCTCGGCGCCGGAGACTCCGCCTGCCGCAGCGGCCTGTACAGCAGCGACGCGCTGGATCCTGCCAACTGCCTGCTGCAGGATGGCAGGGGCGGAGTCGTGTTTGAGGGCAGCCCAGAGGCTCCGGGGAGGAACAGGTACCGCTACCGCTGCCCTTGCCTCGCTTTCGCAGTTCTTGGGGGTCTCTTGGGAGGCCCTCGTCGCCACGGTTGGCCTCGCCTCGAAGTTCTAACCTCTGGCCAGAGCGAGCCCCTGCCAGGGTCTGGCGAGCACGGCAGGTTCGCGTCGCTTCGACCACGGGGGCCGGGCGACCCGCGCCGCCGCCGTTGCACGTGGATCGCCGGCGGCGACTCGGCGTCGGTCGGTGCTGAACATTCCGACGTGTCCCGCGGTGTCAGGAGCCAGCGGCGATGCTGCACGACACGAGCCTGCCGAGGCGGCATCGGTGCCTTTCGGTCTCCCCAGAGACGTTCTCCGAGCTGGAGCAGCGCTACAAGGACAGAGCCGACGTCGATCTGCGCCTGGGCTCGGCCGAGCCCGGGTCTGCAGCGCGGGCGGTCCGGGACTATGCCGATGCGGAGGGCGGCCGCGAGGGCACGTTCCAGCTGCTGAAGGTGGACGTGGACAACTGCGACTGCTGCTTCGTGGAGGCCATTCTCGCGACAGGTCTCAGGCCCTGGTTTGTGCACATTGAGGTCAGCTTCTTCGTTCCGCCTCCGATTGTGTTCCAGCCGGTGTCTTTCGCGCGGGGGGTGAACGATTCGATGGAGGAGCTTGGTGCATCGACACACAGGCGTGGGCATATGCTCCACTGCTCTCTGTCAGCGGTGATCGACCTGCTATACCCATTGGGGTACACGCTGCTCAGTGTCGTTGTTGCCGACGCGGTCTTCGTACAGCGATCTATCTGGGCAGAGCTGGGGCGCGGCGACACATCCGACCAGCCTGACGGCAGCGGAGACCTCCAAGGAGCCGAGGGCCCGAGCATCCACGCCGAGTGGCTGGCTGGCACGTACTGCCACCCGGCGTGGCCGCACGAGGCCATGGTCGTGCGCATGCAGTCCGAGTTCGTGTACGATTACCGGCTGTGGAGCGACGCTCACAGGCCCCTCTACGAGCGGCTGGGAATGATACGGTCGTACCTGGACCACTGGGACGTGCCCCGGAGCCGCTACCACCTGCGGCTGTCGACAGCACAGGCGCCACAGGGTGCGAGCCCCTCCCCGCGAGCCTCCTTCCGCGAGGGCCACTGGCCGCGCGATCTCACGCGGCGGCCTCGTCCGGCGCCCGACTGAGCGCCGCGAGGGGGGAGCCGCCGAGAAAGGGCACCTCTCCCTCGGATTGTGGAGGGGGAGCGGGGCGGCTGGGCAGAGAGGGCTGGTTGGCAGCATGGCCTGGTCTGACTGCTGGAGGAGACGAGGACACGAACACATGGATGACCTGAGGCAGGAGGGATAAAAACACACCGACACAAATCAATCGTCGACTCCCCAGAAAAGACTGGAAACTACGGGAAGTGTGGGGGAGGACAGACACCCAGAACATGTGGGCGAATATGGGGAACCCTATCATTTGTGTCCAGTTATCTATTTGTGTGTGTCCCAAGGCCCCTCCACTAAGACTGTGTGGTCAGCGGCGGGTCCTGCTTCCCTGCGGAGCTGGCGGGCTCCGTCGCCAAGTCAGGCGGAGTTGGCCTCGTGCTTCGGGCGCGCCATCCCCGATCCATGGATCTGCCTTGGCATCGCTCGGACGTGTGCATTTTTCTTTCGGCGAGGACCATCGAGGAGCATCCTTGATCATTTGGCGAAACAAACACGCACGAAACCGAAAAAAACACAGGGAATGGACGTCCGAGCGACGGCGAGCTGCTGCCAACGCGCCAGATCCACGGATCACGGATCCATGTCAGCATTCGCCAGAAGGAGGGAGTTCGCAGGATCAGCAACGTGTAAGCACTGATGCTTAAACCTCCGCGTATCCCCACCAGCCCATCCAGCAACGATGCCCAGGCGAGTTGGGGTAACCAGGGGATTGTAGGAGCAAAGCGGGGGGCAGCCGCAATCGTTCGACAAGGAGAAGTAGGAGGAACCAGAGCATGAGGAGGGCTAACATAGATGCGTCTCGGAGTCTCTTGGGAGATCTCTTGCGCGTTTCTCAGAGGCTTCTTGGGGCGTCTATAGGGCCTCTTGGCGGTTCCAGTGGCCTCAATGGGCGTGTTGGGCCGTCCTGGGGCCCTCTTGGAGCCCTCTTGGGGGTCCCTTGGGAGCTCTGGAGGGCCTCGTGGGGCCATCTTGGAGGCCATCGATCAAAAGGGGGGGTCTTGAATTTGCCTCCCCTCCACTGGGGCCATCCAAAATTGCCTCTCTGGGCGCTCTTGGGAAGCTCTTGGGCCGCTCTCGGGCGTTCGTGGGGCTGTCTGAGGGGCCTCTTGGACACCTCTTGGGGCTCTCTTTGGCCATTTTGGTCCATGTTGCGGCCTCAAAATCGCGTCTGAAGCGAAAAGGCGAGAAGGCACACCATTTATGTTCCTTCGGTGTTTGGAGGATGTTGGCCTCCTGTGGGTTGTGAGGTGGCTTCGAGGGCACTTGGAACTGTCTTGTGGCCCTCGTCGGGCTTCTTGGGGTTTTGTCTGAAGCTAGGTTGAATATCATCTTCTTTTATCTTGAGCTATCTTGGAGGTCATCCTGGAGCATCGCAGGACTTCTTGAAGCCATCGTGGGCGATTTTGGGCGCTCTGACCACTCCCCCCCACAACAACAAAAGACAGGGAGGGGAGGAAGAGAGTACCCCTCGCCGCAGGGAAGAGGGATTTGGAAGAGGAAAGGAAGAACCCGTTGTTCCACCTTACACTTGAGGCCCATGCCAAGAAACACCATGCTTGCCTCCAGGGTGCCCTGGGTTTCTTGGGTTTCGATGGTTTTGCTGTGGAAAGCGCGACGTTCCCACACCAATAATGAGTGGACGTCCTATGGTCTCAGGGATGGGTTTCTTGTGGAAGGTTTCTTGTGGACCGGCCTCCACTGTAACCCAGAGGGTTAGTGGGATTTATCTGCAGATGCATCGGGAGACTTGACGGTAGGGAGCGGCCGTGCGTCGCAGTCCGTGTCTTCCGAGAGAGAAGGTTGCACGCTGCTTTTGCCGGGATGTTTCGGTACTGCCGCAGAGAACTGCGCGAGGCGTCGTACCGTATTGCGCCCATGTTCGTTCGAAAGTTGTGTGAAATCCCACGTGTCGCCCATTTCCCAAACTTGCGTCCACCTGGGCAGGCACGATTGTGCTCCAGTTGGTGGTCCACTCCCTAGCTGCCCTTTCTCTGCAGCTTCAGGCTTTACGAGCAGCATGGCGGAGTCTCAACGCCGTTCGACGTGCTTGGCTTTTTCCGAAGTTCAGGCAACAATCTGCTTGAATGACGATGGGAAGCCGAGTCAGGACGATGCAATTCAAGGTATACTGGAGCAACACAGAAAACGGAAGAGTTGTCTTGCTGTTTGAGACCATCGACCACGCTTAGAGATGCAAGGTCAATAGCTGGTCCCAGGAAGCAATCCAGGCAGTCGAATGAGTTCGAGTGTAGACTGAGGGATGCCCTGGCCAGGCGTTGCCAAGACATTGAGGCCGCAAGTGCTGCATCCAATATCAAATCGTGGCACAATTCGTTCAAAGGAACAGTTCACGCCAGAATCATGTAGCATCGAGCAGCTGGCAAGGACCAAGGAGCGTGGAAAAGGCAGTACGGAGAGAGGCATGCATGACATACGTGTTAAACTCAGCATGGCCAAGCGGTTGCTACGCTGCAAGCGCGCCACATCCAGGTGCACTCGTTCCACAGATCGAACGCTCGGGGTGACGCCAGAATCGCGGCTGCTGGGAGAGCAGCGCCGGTTGCGTAGCAGACGTCGGCCCGTGCCTGCGCAGCTGTGCCCCCTGACCGCGGTGGCGGTGATGTGCTGCTCCCCGCTCTCCCGCGCTCTCCCTCCCTCCCTCACCGAAAGCCTCGACCCCGCTCCTCTTCCCCCGTCGATTCCTCCCCCCCCTTCGGTCCTCCTCTTCCTCCCCCCCCATGGCCCCCCCTTTTCCCTCGCGCGAGGGCGGTCCGCGGTGCGACCAGACGGCCGCGGCGGAGCGCAAGGCGAGGCCGCCCCCTCCAGGGGGAGGGGACGCGACTGGAGCCGGCGGGGGAGGACGGGGAGGGGATCGAAAGGGCCGAACAAGTTTTTTTTGTTTACCACACTTGTTGGCAGTTGTTTTTAATCACATTTTTCTGAGTTGTTGTTTATCACACCTGCCGTCTTTGTATCGCACTTGCTTCTTGTCACACTTGCTTTTTCCCTCACTCGTTTGTTTCGTCACCTTTGTTTTTCCTCACACGTAGTTGGAGCACCGAGGATCCGGCGTCCGCAGACATGGATCAGGGGGGCGTGGACTATAGCGACGGGCCCCGTCCCCACGGGGCATCGCGGATCCCCGCCGCCCGAGCGGGGCGGCACCGGCCGCACTCTGGGGAGGGCACCTCCCCCGAGAGGCATATGTCTGCGGGCCCCCGAGAGGGACGCCGGGCAGGCGCGCCCACGCCTCTCTCCTCCGTCGTCCCTCTCCTCCATTCAGGAGGGGAAAAAAAAAAACAGACAGACACAATGAATCGTCGATTCCCCAGGAAAATACGGGAAAATATGGGAAGTGGGGGGGAAGACACAAACCCAGAAAGGATGGGAAAATGTGGGGGACATGTTTTATTTGTGTGTATTTTTTAGTGTGTCCCAGGGCCTCTTCACTCTCCCCCATCCCGAGCCTCCAGCCTCGCTCCTCCCCCACTCTCCACCGCACCCCGGTGGTCTTGGGCGGAGTGCTGCTTCCAGCTCGGAGGAGCGCATCCACTGCCGCAGGTGTCGCAAGGGTTCGCCTGCCCCCAGAAGACCGATGTCTGGAGCGTAATTATGCCAAAGACTGTTCCCGCCTACTAGCCACGAGCGTCTATAGACGCATGGGGTGTCGCTATGTGTATAAACATGCACATTCGGAGTGGATGCGTCTACATGCAGTGCGGTCGTTTTGTTCGGCGCGGTACAAGGTCGGAGAAAAGAATCATTTCGTCTACGGTACGGTCTACGGTACGTCCCTGTTCCTAAGCATGTCCCACATGGCACTCCACAGCCAGATTGGGGACGGAAGCGATGGGGACGATGACATACAACACCCCCGCCCGGGTTGAGCAGGCCTCACATGACGGCGCCCGTTGACGTCGTCTGTTCGTGGCGGGGGGGCGCTTGCGCAGCGGTCGTTGCCTGCGTGGTGCAGCATCGGTTGGCTGTTTGGCACCAGTCAAATCTGTGATGCCACCATTTTCTTTCCGGGGGGGGGATCGGGGAAAAAGGGGTCGCGGCGCAGGCATCGGTGGTCGGCCCCCGACTCCCTTCTGGCTGATCCAGGCGTTGCAGCCATGTGGGGCCGACACCTCTTCCTTCCCTCCTTTGGCCCAGGTGACCCAGGTTAGGGAGCTACTCGTTTCTGGTGCGGGGTGGTGATCTGTCACTGACTGGCCCCGGATGGCGTTGGCCAGGGTTAGCGCGCCCCCGGGGGGACCGGAGGAACGACGGGAGATCGATGTTGTGTGAATGCAGGGATTGGCGAGCGCATGGAAGCATGCAGTTCGGATTTTGCGCTCGGCGCGGCTTCCCTACTGGTGTCTTCTTCGGTTTCGAAATATAGCGGGCCGGTGCTCCTAGTTTTGGATTTGAGCCACTGTTTTGCCCAGTCTGGCTGGAGATGTTACATCAATCTCTAAATAGGTCTGCCTTGCGGGATCTGTGTCGATGGTTGTTGGCATGGGAGCCTCAGTAATCTGAGCTACGGCATACGCCATGTTTGTCTGCTATCACTCTACCTGTTCGGTATGGTCATTACGGAGCTTATGGCGGACGCCAGAAGGCTCCTGGGAACATGTAGAAATTGTTATCCACCAAGACGTGCGCACATAATACCTCACGCGCGAATGTTGCCCTGATCTTTGACGATGACTCCGACAACGCGGAGAAGTATATGCAGTGCGCACCCTGAGCGGGCAGGACATTTGGTTTAGTTTTTCGAATTGGAGAAAGCAGGATCTCATATCTACCACTGAAGCCACTATCGTCGAAACGCTGGCCAGTGACGCAGTCGACTTCAACACGCAAACTGTCTATATAAAATGCACTCCCGCTGTGAACGGGACAGCAGGTGTACGAGAGAAAGTTGGCCCAATCGTCGAGGAAACAACAGTTGTATCAGACGAGTTTGACACATTGCACCGCGTCTGGTGGCATTCAGAAACCCACGCGTTTAAGACTGGGACATCCAAGACGCATCTTTTTCCATCGAGTTGCTTTGCAATAGACATTCGCTCTGGCGTTCACCGCTGATGTCACAAAGGCCGGATTACTTTAAAGCATAATCCTCTAAATAATTGTGTTGCAGGTTTATATTCATGTTCCACGCCTGCAATGCCTCAGTTTTGCACCAAGCCAGCGCCAAAGCATGATCGGCGTGTTGTTGACGAGGCAGGTTGAAGTGGATTGGGGTACATATTGGTCTAGACATGACCGGCATCGGCAAATGACGCGTGCTTCGATTTCTCTAGTTTGTGGATTCAGCCCAGTGGGCTGGCGCGCGTTGGACGCCGAGGCAGACGTAAGGTCAGTTGGTCGAATGGCGGTTTCAAGCTCACAGTGGCAGCAGCAGGCAGCGCAGATGATTTAAGTGTTTGCCGTCCAAGGGCTTTTTGGTTTTTTTGCAAGATGCAGTGTTCGCATCCCCTCTGCAATGGTTGTCTCCCCTTACCTTCACTGCCTTGCTGTGTTTATGCACGCAGCTGCTTGCAATTATCACAAGGAGGATGAGCAGTAGGACGAGAAGGAGAAGTAGGTCGCGGATGCCTCAGCCGACTCCTTCTGCCATGATGTTGCTGCGCCAGTGAGGAGTCGAGGAGTATCCCCGCAGAAGAGGAATGTCGCCATTGTGTGGTAGTACCATGTAGGAAGGTTCGTATTCTTAGCAATCCCCAGAACAGGGATTTCTGCGCCACGCGCCGCGGGGGGACGTCCACGCCGTGATCGTGTAAGTAGTAGTACCTTTTGCTACTGACCCCAGCAATTGTAATTTCGGCCACGCGACCCTTGGAGTGGACGGTTGATCCTCGAAACCCCTCAGGTGCGTCAGGGCGCAGGGTGCCAGCACGGGCACCCATGGACCCGTGGACGCCGGAGTATCGCCCTCGAGGCTTGTGTCCGCTAGCCAGTCAGGAGAGGGAACTACACACTCGTCGATCCACAGACAAACATTTGCAAAAAATACGGCAAGTGGAGGGGAAGACGAAACTCCAGGAAATATGCAAATATGAGGAATCCTGGAATTTGCGCCTATGTATTTGTGCGTCCCTGGGCTCCTGCAGCCAGGTCGCGAAGGAGGGTTGCAGGCGACACCTGGCCCCCCTCCCCCCCGAGTTCCCCTTGAAAGATCTGGCCGCTCAGAAACTCACCACCCACCACACCACCCCAACCTACCCAACCCAACGCGAAGGCCCCACCTTGCCGTCCATTCCCGGTGGGGGGGGGGGGGCTGGGCGTCGGGAACCTCGAGAGAAGACGTGTCGAACCCGTGCACCCCCCCCAAACCCGAAATTTGGGTCTTCGGGTTGGCCTGGTCGGGCGCTGCAGAGAGGAGGGTGATGACTAGGGGGGGGTAGATATCATGCCGTAGGCCATGATGTTACCTCAGATTTCACGGTGCCTCTTCTTATTGTAGTGGTCTCCGGCCAGTGCCGCCGATCCGGGGTTGTTCCCGATGCGATCTGGTTGGTGGAAGGGGAGGTGGAGGAGTAGGTTGAGGATGAGGCGGAGGGAGGTGGAGGGAGGGAGTGCCTGGAGTGCCTCACGATGGCCTAAGACGGCCTAAGCAGCCCCCAAGAGGCTTCCAAGACGGCCCAAGAGGCCTCCAAGTGGATCTCCAGGAACGCCCGAAGAGGCCCAAACCACGGATTTCCTATAGGTTTTTGAAGGATTCGGGGGGTTCTTTATTGGCTTTCCGAAGGCCCAAGACGGCGGCTCAAGAGGCCATGTCGCATCCGGGGTGGCACTCTGCTGTGTTGCCCACGACCCGATTCCCCCTCCCACCCTTCGGAAAACGCAGCACGGCGCGTCCCCCTCCCCCCCACCCCCCTACCCCAGCAGAGCCACCCCGGCACCCACCCCCCAGCAGAGCAGAAGCTCAGGAACTGAAGCTGAGGCTACATCTGAGGCTCTTTCAAACTCACACGCCGGGTCGGCGGATTTCACTGCGCCCCTGGCCCCCCCTCTGGGCCGCGCGCACGCCGCTGGCCAGGATTTGCGCCCTCCCGTCTTGGACGCCCCCCTCTTGGCCGCCCCCGCATTGGGGAGGTTTGGCAGGTAACTCAGAAACAGGGGGGAACTCGGGGGTGATGGTCCTGTTTTCCACTATCACCACCACCATGAGTTGGAGGGGGAGGGGATCCTCCTCATCCTCCTCCTCCTCCTCCTCCTCCTCCTCCTCCTCCTCCTCGTCAGGTTCGCAGAGATCCGCCCCCTTCGGCGAGTATCGGAACAGTTCGACAGGTGAGTGGGCGGTGGGGAGAAGTCCAGTGGGTTCTGCTACTGAGTGCTCGTCCGCCCTCTCCGCCCATTTTGATGTACACCACGCAAGTGACAGTGCTTTATCCTTCTCGCCGCCTGCTGGGGAAGCTGGTGGTGTCTACCGTCCTGCACGTCCTCTGTCTCTATGCAGTTGGAACACGCGCGCGCTCTTCGCCTCTCTTTCGTCTCGTTCCTCTCGGTCACGTTCACGCTTCCTTCGGGCTAAGCAGCTGCTTTCACAGTATCAGGTCATGTGTTTACAGGAGACGCACGGATCTGAAGCAGACTTGGTTATCCTTCGGGACGAAATGCGGACTGGGCAAATTGTTGGGAGCTTTCTGGAGGATCGGAATGCGGGGGGGTGGTGGTGACCTTCCTGTCTTCGGAACTCTGTGACTGCTTCGACCAGATCACTCCGATTACGGTCGTCCATGGTCGGGGACCCCGAGGCGATTTGGTAGTGGTCAATGTACATATGCCTAACACATGCGATGACGTTCGTATCTAT